CACATTTAACAGAGTATCTTAGTTGGCCTATGGGTGAAGAAGAGTCCCCATGTACTCTTTGTCAATGTTCCCTATTCCTACAGACAGTTCAGTGATATGAAATGTAGGTTGAAACCCCATCCCACAGTCTTGTTTGCATTTTAGGAATGCATGCACTGAAAGAGCCCTGTCACACCTGCAGCCCATGCCAACACCAACTTACACCCTGGAAAGCAGGTGGGATGGGAGGTAAGAGGTGATGGACTCTGCTTGGAAGAGTTCCCTTTGTTCCTCAGCAGGGAAACATGGAATGTAATCCTAAGTGAAGCAGAAGCCCCACCGTGGAGGAAACCCTGAGAAAACCACGGCAACAGTTGTTCCTATCAGAGTGAGTTGTGTTGGATCCTCCAAGCTGAGGCTCCTGTGGCTGGCTCCTGGGGATCCCTGGAACAAGCAATCTCTCTCTCATAAACAGAAGGTTCTCCTAGAAAGCTGTGGACAGAGAAAAATAAGGTATGGCTGTGCTACAGCAGAAAAAGCTGTGAATTACAGAGAACCACTCAGAAATGGGGAAAAGAACATAATTAAACTTAAGTATCCTAAAGGCAGAAGGACCTGGTGCAAGGTGAGAAAAAGATCTGTATCTCTCTCATTCTCTGCCTCAGCAAATGACTCTGGTCTGGTAGTGTGCTGGAGCTGACAGGCACCGGCTGGAAAGAGCTGATTGGTAAATATTCAGGAATTCTGCAAACCGGTTTGGCCACTTGAAATTGGCCATGATGAGAGTATTTACAACATGGAAATCAGCAAATGCTACAATTCAGAGATTTAAAAAAAAAAAAAAAATTCCTGGAGATCCTGTTTATCAGCTCACCACACCTCAAATTAAAAACTCCTCTCTGATTTCTCTCCTAAAAATTGGAGACCCATTATTGCCCACGGCATTCAGGTTGTCTCTATTTGTTTCAAATTCATTAAGTTCAAAAGAGAATGCATCATATTATCTCTCAGGTAAGATCTTTCTCGTGCGTTCTGTATTTTTGTTAACGATTTGCCATCTTTGCAAACACCAGCACTCAAAACTCATAATCATAGTTGACACTTTACTCAGTAATGAACAAGAAGGAAAAAGGAGGAGGTGGAGAGTTATTCAAGTGGCATTAATTTCTTAACACATTGTGTCAGCACTTGTGATAAGCCCTTTACATACATTCCCACAACATCTCTTGAGAGACAGTATTATTTCAGTTCTGCAAAGGGAAAACTGAAGTTCAAGAAAGTTGTTCCTTATCAAACTTCTATAGATAATAGGTTTTAGAACTATGATTTGAATCCAGGACCCCATGAGTACAAAGCCACACTTTAACAAATATACCATATTTCTAACCAATTAGTTGCCAAATTTCAGCCCTGGTTGGTTTTTATGGAGGTATTATTTATATACAATCTTAAATATTCATTGACTGGGTATTGACAAACATACATACTTGTATAATTCACATAATCTATCAAGATATGGGATATTTCTACCACTCTAGAATTCTTCTCCTTTCATAGGAATTGCTTGTTCCAATCAATTCCCACTTGGTACAGTCAATGCAATGTTGCTATAACAAAATGCAAGAAATTGGGTGGCTTATAAATTATAGAAATTTATTTCTCACAGTTCTTGAAGCCGGCAAGTTCAAAAGCAAGGTGCTATCTATCAGATGCAGTGTCTGTGAAGGGCCCATTTCCTGATTCATACAGGGTGCTTTCTTGTTGTGTCCTCAAATGGTGGAAGAGGCATGGCAGCTTTTGGGGATAAAGGCCTCTAATCTCAATTATAGGGTTCTGTTCTCATGGCCTAATCACCTCCTGTGTAGGGCACATAGACATTCAGACTATAGCAGACTGTTTTGATTTATTTCATCACGGATGAATTTTATCTACTCTGGAATTTGATGTAAATGGACTCATATAGCAGGTACTCTTGTGGAAAACGTTTCCAGCTCAACATTTTGGGAAAAATTCATATCATTTGTGTATATCAGCAATTTGTATCTTTTGATTGCTGAGTAATAGTCCATTGTACAGATAAACCAGTGTTTGTGTACTCTTTTATTGATGGGCATTTGAATGGTTGGCTGTGAGCATTCATTTGTATATAAATCTTTTTGTGGGCAATTATCTTCATTTCTGTTGGGTAAAGTCTGAAAGTATTAAGTACTAAGTCACAGGTGAGCTGTGTTTTTACTTAAGTAAGAAACTGCCAGACCAATTCCCAAAGTGGCCTTGTCATTTCATATTCCCACAAGCAGTATATGTTGATTCTACTTGCTCCATATCCTCAGTGCACTTAGTATTATCAGTCTTTTTAATTTAGCCATTCTAGTGAGTGGGTAGCTATAATTCATTGGTTTTAATTCATATTTCCCTAAGGACCTATGTAGACCTAGACATTGAGGAAACCCCAAGGGCATATTTTACAATCAGCAAAAATTCCTTTGACAGGACACAGAAAGCATTAAATATAAAAGAAAAAGCAAAAAGATAGAGTGGATTTTATAGGAATTAAAACCTTAAACAAGCCAGGCGCGGTGGTACACACCTGTAATCCCAGAGGCTCAGAAAGCTGAGGCAGGAGGATTGCAAGTTCAAAGCCAGCCTCAACAAAAGCAAGGTGCCAAGCAACTCAGTGAGACTCTGTCTTTAAGTAAAATACAAAGTAGGGCTGGGGATGTGTGGCTCAGTGGTTGAGTGACTCTGAGTTCAACCCCCGGTACCCACCCACCTCCCCAAAAAAACCTTAACAAATTAGTAAACACAGGCACGTACTGAAATAAATATATACATACAAAGGATTTGTACCCAGTCTACATAAACAACTCCTAAAATTCAAATTTTAAAACATAACATGGGAAAATATGGACTATGAAAGGCATTTTTATAACCCCCAGGTATGAGCACGTGTGGAGTCAGGAGAGGCTCACCAATATTTTCAAATGGTTTTTGATGATTTGACAATGTATACCTTAAGACCTTCTGGCCAACCACTAATATTGTAAACAAATACAGCAATAACAATGGCAAGTGCCTAGAGAGGAAAAACAAAGCAGATAACAAGATAAATAAGCTAAAGAAAGGGGGGGAGGTATTTCTGAAAGATGGGAGAAATGACATTTAAAATGCTAGCGTGAAATATAAAAAGAAATAGGGTATGAGGATAAACAACAAAGATTATGTGAAACAAACCTTTCCAAAAATAAGACACCTACTCTTTTGCATGGGCAACCCATCAATGTGTGGGTAATGTTGCATCTACAAAGCCCAGGGGAAGCTATCAGACCAAAACAGGAAGCCCTGCATGTGCTCTAGGGCGGAAGTTACCACGACCTGCCCCTGGTGCACCCTGATGTGCATCCTGCTTGCCAGAAAACTCAGATGCCTTGTCAGAAATTACAACAGGAAATGCAGGTGGCATCATTACCGCATGGCACTCCTCGGTTCAGATTCCAGTGACTTCATGGAATTCCTAGCACAACCTCGTTTTAACTCTTGGAGGACATGTCCCCCCTGCAATAAAGTCCATTCATTGAGGCATCTGTGAATGACTTGTGTGAAACTTCCATGTTAAAATATATATATATATATATATTTCTTAATAGGATATCATTAATTTGAAGCATGGAAATTCTGACCAAGAGAAGCAATTTTCAAGATTTTTTTTTTTCTGTGTGAGATCCTCAGGAAGAAAGAAAGCTGCCTCACCAAATAAATCACTTTTTATGACCAGAGTAGTAAATAAAAAGATTAGCCGTACAGTCTGAGTAGGGTTCATGAAGGTTCTGGGTAAGACAGAAGGAAAAGGAGAAGTTATAAAAGAAAGAGTATTAAAGGATTTAGAGGATCCTTAAAAATGACATTCCAGAGGAATATCTTATACCTAAGTGTATAAGGTACATGTGTTTATGGGGGTTCAAATGGACGGTAATCAGAAAGAAAGAAAACCTTAAGTGAAAGTTACTGCTTTGTCAGGAAAACTTTGAAGGCTGGATTAACTGTCATGAAACCAACACGTAAAGCTACTCTGTAAAGCAATGGAAGATGGAGGCAGTTAGCTTAGAAACAAGTATAATTCATGTACACATTCATTCATCATTTAAACCACCAAGTAAGAATATCGAATGTTTTAAATATAATCTGTTTCCCATTTTGAAACTCAAAAGATACCACTTCAGGATAAATTAAAGTCATTCTCTATATATAAGAGATAAAATTTGTCAATCTAAAAAGATGTGGTAGGTAGGTTGGGTCAGTGTGTATCTTGTATTTTAATCCCACCCCAAAATCCTGTAAATGAATCCAACCCACCCTCACACTGTCCATGACTAGGTTGCTCACTGCATTTTAGTCTGATTGCCTAGACTTCAGCCCACACTACCACACTCCTCTTAATTTCCACATTCTATTGATCAGCTCCCAATGTCACCCAAGTCCCCCTGAATGTGACACTCTTGTTTCAGCCCATTGCTCCCTCTACACTCCCAAGACTTCAGCTTTCGCTGTCCCACACAGGCTCCCAGGCGAGAATTCCCAGCAACTTGACCCAGGGTGACAGAGCCAATCCACATGTGCCTATTCCAACAAGATTCTCTGTAGGGTAAGGGTTAGGAAAAACTTTGGTGAATTCTGTTTGCCATCTTTGTTATGAGTGGTCTTCATTTTCTGGGCAATATCTCCTGGGAACTGTAAAGGCAGGAGAAGGCTTTTCAGATACCAAGTCATTGATTCAAACGCTTCAAAGTTGGAAACTGTTGAGGAAGCATAAAACTAACTTTGGGCTGTAAACCCCTGCTATTGTAGAAGGATCAGTTTGAACAAACTTTCTGACTACTGATGAGAACTAGAAAGTATACTCCATTCTACTGTACCTTGATGAGGGTGGGAGATATGAACAACATCAACCTAAAGAAACGAGCATGCTCAGGAAGGTTTGAAATGCATTTTAGATTTCAGAGTGAATACAGAGACGTGTCACTAAACCAAGCCTAACATCAGAATGGAAATATATTAAAGATTCATAAAACAATAGCAAACTATGAAAATATTTCTTGCCGGGTACACTTTGCTCAATGATAATTTCCTATTTTGGATATCCTATGTAAAAACAGGATCCAACTGTTATTATAGCCATCTTTTTTGGTGTTAAAAAGGAGTATAAGGACACTTATCTCTACTCAAGCAAAACATACCAAGATAATAAGCATGACTCCTTCAAAAATTTAACCAAAACTGATATGCCATCTCAAAAGCATCATTCTGCAATTAAAGATAACCATCTATAACAAATAACACACACACACACACACACACACGTGCTCACACCCACACATCTTAACACCAAACCCGAAGTCATAGTAATAGACACAAAGAACAAAGAAGATGAAAACAGCAAAGTGGCAAAGGCCTCTTAAACCCATTGGGCAGACAACCTTCAAACCACCCTTGAAATCAAACTGCTCTCTCAAGTTCTCTCAATGAATAGCTAAAAAAAGAAGAAAGTGCTTGTGACCAGCACGGGGAGAAAACAGAGTAAATGGTTCCAAGTGCGAGAATGACATCAAGGTCAAAGCAAATTGATTCCAGTTATCACATTCTTTGTCATTTCCAATTTATGGCAAATGGAGGCTGAGACTGCCTGCTTGGGGCTCCCCTGCTCTCCTTGAAGGCTTTTTCAGGGAAATGATAGCTTAGATGTTTCAACAAATTTCAATGCATCCCTGTAAAAGATAGACATATATCATTTTTTAGATCTGTCATTTTTTTTTTAAATTCTCAAAAAGAACTTATTATTTAAAGGACTCCCTCTAGTTTATGTATGCCTTAGTTCTAATTCCGGCATTTGGGACTCCTATAAAGTGAAGCCTATCAGAATAGTATTCCGTTTCAGAATCAGTGACTGGGTTTGCTACACTAGAATGTCAGGCTTCAGCATGTTATTTTTGTATTTTGTTTTACATCGCAATCCAGATCCTTTTTGTAACTACCTACCCATTTCTCATTTGAATTTTGCTGGGTGGTTTTAAGCCTTTGAGTCCTTTCCTACCCACTCTTTAAGATGCTTACTTTAGCATCTTACATCTCCCCCCGGGGTTTTATTTGTGCATAATTCTAGGGCACCCCAGGCAGCAGGCTCTGAAACAGTTGTTGGGCTTTCTGTGGCCCCCAAACCATCCCAGGGAATACGAGGAATATGGGCAACTTGGGAACATCTCGAAGGATTTGGTGCCTGGGGTAATGTGTGCTGCTTGTTTAGTGAATTAGCACCTCGGAAAAAAAAGATTGTAAAGAAGGTGTTCCTGATGGCACGGAGCACAAAAATAAGCAGCGTGTTCAATCTGTTCAGCATTACTTGGTGCACTGTCAGCACTATCCAAATTTTAGACTCTGGTTTAAAATTGATAACCTAGAAGAAATTTTGAGCCAATGTTTACAGTATTTGAAGATACTATTTAAATGTCAGCTGGAGCCCCATGATCTTGGAGGAGGTTTCAATGAGAATGGGATATATTTGGTCACAGAGGATTCAAATGCCTATCTTGTTGTTTTGTGTGTGTGTGTGTGTGTGTGTATTTCTTGATGGGTTTGCAGGGACCTCAACTCTGATGCAGATTTCCCTAAATTCTATGCTTTCACAACAAATCTGTAATGAATCTTTTAAGATCTAAATATATGAAACAAGGTGAAAAGGAACCTGCATTATTATGGTAGTAGCAATAATAGCCACTAGTTCTGTAATGCTATTTAGGGCACAGTCACCAGACGAAGCTATTTACATATAGCCAGTCATTACCATAATGCTGCAACTTAGGTTCTATTATCCATATTTTACAAATAAAGAAACTGAGCCTTTATGTGGCTGAAAATATATGTCACCTTGATGGCAAAGCCCTGTTTTTGACCTTTATGCTACACCGCCTCTCTCTGTAATGCATTTAAGTGTACTTCACAAAGGCACAACATTCTCTATAAATGTCACGTGGTACCAGTAACAAGGCTGCCAGAAAACAGTCTTGATCTTACCCTATTCTGATTGCTGCCATCTGAAAGAAGCAATGCCTTAAAGTGGTATGAATGGTACAACTATCCTTGTGAGCCATGTCAGTGAGAGGAGCTCTTCCTTGAGAACTGGGAGCAGTAACACTTCAAAACCAGTGTAGTACAACTTCAAGATCTCAAGCTATGGGTCAGTGTTACCAGAAGCTGCTCCTATCTATTGAGAAGAGTCTTGACAAAAATAAAAAAAATTAAAAAAAAAAATACCTACTTCAAGGTTGACAAAGGCCTGCCTTGGATGTCTACATTTTTCTGCTATAATTACAAAGAAAACGTTTGCATTCTGAGAGCACTTCAGGATGAGTTTATCTGCTCCTTGGAAGATACCTGTATGTTGAGTTCTCTAAAGAAAAGATCTTGCGACTGTGACACCACAGATTAGACATCTGTTTCCACTATCCATTGCCATTAGTCTAAAGTGAGATAAACGATTGAAGGCCAAAGGTCAAGACTTCTGAAGCAGAAAACTCCAACAGTGTTTTCAGTACTTTGGGAACACCGATCCAGTTTATGCCAGTATGACAACTCATAGTTTAAAGGTTGTTGTTCTCTGACATATCTCTGTGAAAGAAAAAAAAAATTACTTGTCAGTCTTCCCTAAAATAGAAGCAACATATCACTATTGAGATGTGAGATTGCTTTTGCTAACAAGTTGATGATTTGGGCAGCAATAAGCAATTATAAGTTATCAATAATTGCTTTGTTAAGCAAACAGATTTCAGCAATATCTCGCCAGTAAAATATCACTTTCATGACATCAACCTTCAGCTGAAAAGAGGAATTTATCTGTTGTTGAGGCAACCACTGTGATGTTAATTACAGCTGTGGGCTTGGTCTCATCCATAGATTAAGAGAACTATTTTGTTGATCTCCATGGATTCTTGAATCTTCAAGCACCACCACCCCCAACACACATACACACACTCATCTCCCTCTCTCTCTATCTCTCTCTTTCTCTCTGAAAATTACGCAAGAATCTTCAGGCCTGAGCTGATATAAAAGACTTCTACTCAGGTATTCAAATTATGTATCTCCTCTACCATCATTAGTAAACACTGCTTTGGAGCAGGCACAGCAAACAGACTCTGTCAGTCCAGAGGGAACAAGGTAAGATACCTGTGATCACACACCTTCAGGAGGGAGCAGATGGGGTGTGTTTGGGTGAGAAAGGTGAAGAAGCAAACTTGGTGACCATCCAAGCCAAGGATAACTCCAGACCTGGAATTGGAATATGGAACAGGGTTGCAGAGCAAAGCTACCTTCTACCCATTTCTGTTTTTTTAAATTCTTATGGAAAAACTATCCTTGGTATCCCCTTTTATCTTTTTGTTTTTCTCTACCCTAAGGAAATCGGATTTACCGTTGCACATAATTTTAACTTGTTTTGTGTTATCAACAATTCATCCCATTTTATTTTATCTCTATATTATTTTGGAGGTTACGCCTTAAACATTTCAGCCTCTCCTAAGAACAATGTGGTAGAGAAACCATGGTAAGCTTTTAAATTCTATCAGTCTATATCTAAAGATACAATTAGAAAAATCATGGGGTTCTATGCAAATTATTATTCCTCATTAAGAGAGACAATGGTTTTGCAATTGACATTGTCCAATTAACATGTATTTGCAACCTTTAAAACAAGGAGGGAAGATCTTTAAAAGATTTCTGACAAAACTAGCTAAAACATGTTATGCGTGCCTGTGTGTGTGTGTGTGTGTGTACATGTGCATACTCACACATATACACAAGCATGCACATCCCTTAGGTTTGGGGTAGAAGCCAGAATGGGAAGTGAAAATTAAAACTAATAGGCAAAGTCTTGAAAGTCTAAGTATTGTTTTCAGTCTGAATCTTAAAGAAAGGTTTGAGTGGTTCATATTCTAACTAAAATGGTTTGCTCATAAATAATGAATGATAAAAAGGCAGCTTCCACACCTAAAGTCCCTTTCTATCCAAAAGAAAATTTATGATCCTTTCAAAATTTTAAATCATTTCAGACTGTGTGAAAAGAATACCTTCAGGTATTATTCTTGACCAAAGTTCTCAGGCAACTTGCTAGAATTACACTCCATATAAGGCAGGGTTACTCAACCTCAGCACATTTGGGGCCGGATAATTTATTGTTGCAGGGGACTGTCCTGTGAATTGTAGGATATCTGGCACCATTCATGGTCCCTATTCACTAAATGCTAGTATCAAACCCCAATGCCAGTTGTGAGAATCAAAAGTGTCTCTAGTCATTGCCAAATGTCCCTTGGGGGAGATAAGGATCAAATCATCCTCAACTAGGACATACTGCTATACAAATAGCCATAGAATGTGTGAGTATGGTTGGGGGAATGGAGAGGAAGAAAGAGGGTAGAGTTTCTTACCAAAGAGACACTTAACTGAAATATAATTTCATTTTTAAGATGGTTATTGTACCTTGAAAGACATGGCCATGGCATTTGTCATCTTTTTTTCTTGGAGAGGTGAAGTATATTCCCTCTCCCCTGGAATCTGGCCTTGCCTGGTGAAGAATGTTGCCCCCCTAAAAAAAATTTGTAGAAGTGACATTGTGTTACCATGAAGCTAGGTCTTAAAAAGGATTTAAGTTGCCAATTTGTTATCTTGGGGTGTGTCTCTAGGGATCACCAGGTAAGTAAGCCACCCAATCCTCCGAGAAGATGAGAGGGCACAGAACAAACCAAAGTGCCCCAACCAAAAGTAAGCATCACCTGCCAGACACAGGAATGAGACCGTGTTGGGCCATGCAGGCCAGTGTTCCTCCAGCTATGTCAGCCTGCTGAGTGAACCAGGGTGGAACCATCCAGCTAATAGAATAAGGAGAAATAAGGAAATGCTATTATACTCTTCTATATTTTGGGGTGTTATGTTATGCAGCAGTGACTAACAAGTGGAGGTTCCCTAGCTTAGTCCCAAAGCATGGTGCTCCCAAGAAGCTCCATTGCAAAGTAGGGCAGATCAGATCTAGAGAGGTGAGTGATTCTAGTCATAAGGACATGGTGCTGAGCATCCTTAGAGATTTCAGTCAGCTTCTCAGGAGCATATTTGTAAATAAGATACTAACTTTTCAGAACCTTGTTCAGTTGGGAAAAAAAATGCATTTATAGGAAATCAACAATGTATGTAGTACATAAAGGGAGAAGAGGGAAGGCTATGGCTTCCTATATGTTCTAAAGCAGATTAAAACAAAACTACTATTATTCTAAATAAATAAATAAAACACATTAATCTAGAAATAATAGAAATGTATGTTAAACAGATATATGGTTGTAGAGGTTTCATATGGATAACTTATCAATTGACTATATTAGAAGAATTTTCCTAGAATTTCCTTTCACTTGTGGTTTCAGATTAAAGTTGGTGAAGAAAGAAAATTTGCATGAGAATTTTTCAAGGTGGAGATGAAGGTGTAGCCAATTATACTCTGAAGATTTTCATGGTTAGATTCACGGAGAGACTAATACATATGTGCCAATGGATTCCAGCACATTCAGTCCTCCCTACTCCCTTCCCCACCACACCTTGTGACCAGTTCTTCTTCCCACCTGCAGGTACTACTGAATGACAGCTACCCTGGACGCACCATGTGATGCAGAGGCAACACTGTCATGGATTTCTCTAGCAGCTCTCCTTCATAATACAGATTCAGCATCTGGACATATTTCCCTGACTTTCCTGTAAGCAATTAGTACTCTCAAACCAGCGTGTGAGGACTGGTTACTAGTTTTGATCTGATTCAACTGTTGGACTTCTCTCCAGCGTCTCCCACCTTGGTGTAAGGTCTTTCTATTATGGATTCTGTCTACCATGATACTTTATGGTAGTTTGGCAACTGTTGAAATCTGACAGAGGTTATAACACAGCAGTTCAGAACACAGCAGATCTGGAGTAGGGTTGTAGCTCAGTGGTAGAGCACTTGCCAAGCATGTGTGAGGCTCTAGGTTCAATTCTCAGCAGTGCATATAAATAAATAAAATAAAGGTCCATCAACAACTAAAAAAAAATCATATATATATATATATATATATATATATATATATATATATATATATCAGAAAGAAGAGATGCTAAGGATAAGAGTTTGCTCTGGCATTCAATATGATCATACTTTATTTTAAGGATGCCATATTAATTTGATCCTGAGCATCAATGATACTGAAGAATGTCCTTCTATTACCATGTACACACAGCTCACTCATTACACATCTAGTCACAGAGGAACAGAATAAGAGAGAACATTAAGAATCATTGCTAGTGCTTACTTAAGACCCAGGAAGTATTTTCACAAATAACAAGGGGCTTTAAGACACTGTCTAAAGAGATAAAGATCTCATAGGCAAAACACTGTATTGAGAAATAGTAATCAGCTGCCTTTTTAAAATCAAAAGTAGAGCAAAAGTAACACTAGACATTCTGGTGAGACAAGAAAATGTTTATGGCATTTGAAGAGAAATGTAGCTCAGAAATAATTTAAATAGGTTTCAGTGCCTGTCATAAATACCAAAATACCAAAAGAAAAATCTGTAGGCAAATGTAACCTTGAGGGGTATAAATCAGTAAAGAATAAAAAATTTTCTGTAAGACAAATTGAAATGTGTCAAGGAGAAATAAATGCTATGAGCTCCGTGCTTGATAAAATTGAGCTTTGGACTTCTGAAAGTATTACGTGTGCAAAAAAAGTTATGATGTTCATGTCCTACTCTGTAGTGGTTGGAAGGAATTTGGAAATTATAAAAATGATACTATAAAACTGCTGTTCTAAACTGTAGGTAATTTTTTTAAGCTCAATGGATCAAGTCAAATAAACATATGCTACTGGTTTTCATTTTGGTCCCCCAAATACTTAACCTTGGGCCAAAGTAGATAGAAGATCTACATAAATGACATAAATGATATTTCAACTTTAACGTGCATCAGAAATCTTCTGAAGACTTGCTGAAAATAGACCATCTGGGCCCACACCAAGACATTCTGATTCAATAGATCCTGAGCAGAATCAGGAACTTCATACTATATATATATATATATATATATATATACACACATACATATATATATATATATATATATTTTTTTTTTTTCCCCCTAGGTGATTCTGACCTAGTTAGTCTAATATCCAAACCACAGGAAGCAGTTGTCTGGTTCCAACAGAATGAGTTTGCTTGTTTGGGGAATACCAAAGGAAAAGATATAAATGCTATTTTTAAAGCATAAAAACATCACATAGCTTTGCTGAAACAAAGTCAACCATACCATTTGCTTCTGTTCCCATGAAAAATGCACATAACTTCAATGTGGGGTGGGAAGAGTCAGGCAGAGAGGCAGAAACAGAACATCCTGTGCTGATGCCCTTGATGTGGGTGGCAGCTGTACCTCAGATGAGAAGACACAAGGGTCTCAAATGTGCTAGCAGACCCAGAAAGATGGCCCCAGACAAAAGCAAAATTTTCTCATCACTATTGGTTATTTCCAAGTAAATCCATAAAATTGATCATATGAATTTATTGGTACAAGGAAAACTTATATTTTCTTTCCAATGTCGCATATTTAGGAAAATTAAGGAAAACTTTGATTCACTCTGAAGAGTTTACTTTCAGCAAAATGGATAATGCTCAAACATCAAGCTTTCAAAACCAGCAGAGGAGTACACATTTTGTGTTTAAGGATATCTCAATAATTCAAATGTGAAATGGGATATCAATCTTCCAGACTTGGCAACTTGATTTTGCTTATTTTTCCAAGAGTGAAAATGGCATATCTGAAATGTCATCGCATTTAACTAAGACGAGTGTCTCAAATGTTCTCTCTGGCATGCTCGCTTCATAGACTTTGTTCCCCCAGTATATAACGACTCCCCTATATTTTCTTCACTCAAATAAACCCTGCTTTCCCTCAGATTCAGTTCAAACTGCTCCTCATATAGAGACCTTCCCATGAAATGACCCCTATCCCCACTGCCTTATCCCTCTGAATTAGGCATTTCTTCCTAAATGGTCTCACACTGGTGGGCACCTTCCCTCCATCAGTAGTGTGACACCAACATTTGTGGCCCCTTTGCCTCTGCCAATAACATGGGAATTCAATGAGGTCCAAAGCCTCATCCTTTTTAATCTCTGTCTATTTCTAGGGCTTAGCAAATAGTAGGTGTAAAAAATATATATGGATTTTTAAAATTGAAGATTATTTACCATTTAGAAAATCCTAATAAAACATAGCAGTAGTGTCTGATTATTAGTTGCATGTTTAAAAAGAAACAGATCATTAGTTATGTGTGTGTATATCACACAACCATAGCAGCAAACAGGTACATCAATATGTATCTAAAAGAATAATGCGACATGTTAGCTTTAAGTGTTGCAAAGTTACAGTGTGATTGGTATGTGTTTTCCCCATTATTCTGCAAAACACACACACACACACACACACACACACACACACACCACAATAAAGTTTCCCAGCTCTTTTTGTTTGCTCCATAACACCGAGCACTGAGCTAAGCCAACGGTGATTGGTCTATTTCTTTTGATCTTATTAATAGGCACAATCCAGTGCTTATTCTTTGAGGTAAGTGCACAAATTCTTCTAACCAAGAATAAGAACAAAAATAAGTGCTTGATTTTCAAAGAAAGGGCATGAAATATTTCCCTTTCAACGATTTATTTATTTAAAATACAACTCCATCACTTAATTAACATTGTTTATTTGGGTATAATTTTACATTTGTTTGTACTGTTCAAAAAAAATTTTTTTAAGTACAGATTGCCTATTTGTTTTGTATTCTTTTCTCCCACTGCAAGTTGAGCTGTGCAATGCCAAGCAAAGTGTGATTAAGAAAATGAGTTTTGCTTCTAATCAATTAAATTAAAAAGTTGGCACATGAAGCTCATAGCTCCTTAAAATAATGGCTAAATAAAGAAGAGGTAGTTTAATATTTAGCACAGTGAGACAATAATCAGAAAGTAATAAAAACAGACATCTTTAAATAGATAAAAGTGACAAACCTATATAATGCATAGGGTTTATTCCAATAACCTCCAAAATTAATATCATATGAAAAAAAATGCACCTTTTTCAGTGCAATCAAATTGAACCTGCCACCTGACTATAAAGCTATCATTGCAGAGGCGTTTATATCCTCAGCAAACAAATATTGTTCAGGAAGGAAGATGAACACACATGGAAGAGAAAAACATGCATATATTTCAAACAAAACTATTTATTAAACTAAAAAAATCTTCCAATAATTTGAGACCTACATTTGCTCAAAAAATCCCTAGATCACTATATCATTCTGAGAAATCAAGAAGCCTTATATTTTAAATATAGTCCAAATAGAGGTGTGAGTGGAGAGGACTTTAATCTTTTTGGAGGTATAATACCAGGTTTGCTGATAGATATAAGACTAAATTAAAAAAAAAAAAAAGAAGGATACCCACATCTGATTCTAAGGTAGGTGTAAACTAATACACTGATATACATTATTCCAAAAAACTAGTTAGACAATGCTGTGAAAAGAATTCCAGT